TATGGTGATGGATCTGTTGACTAGACTTATTGTGGTGATCATTTCCCAGATATACAAATACTGAATCATTATGTTGTACAACTGAAACTAACATAATGTTGTATATCAATTATACCTCAAAAATAATTCACAGGAATTATATTTGCCTTTAAACATTTTAATGAACCTCAATATTTGACATAATTTATTATCTGTGAACTATGTCTTTTACAATTGCAGTTCTGTATTTTGATTAACGTAATTTTTTGATTCTAGATAATTTAACTTGATTAGAAAGGAATCAATGATTAAAACCTCTAGTTTAAATATAATTAAGGTTTTGTTTTCCTAATTTTAGTATTACCAAACTTTGATCAGAAAAAACACATGACATAGGATGGGGAGAATTTGAGACTGGCCTGTAGTTCTTTCCAAATATATAATAAAATTGGCTTTTAAAAGCCACGGAATAATATTTTTAATGCATCAATTTATTCCTTTTAACAGCATAAATAAAATTTCTGGGTCATTTTTTCTAACATATGCAAAGTCTGAAAAGACTAAAATTCAACCTTCAGAAGGTAATTATGGGATAGATATCCTGAGAATTTCCTGACCATAATCTCGGTAATGGAGAATAATTTCAGCATTGTACATTATATCAGTGTTGGAGAATTATTTAGGAAAGTAATGATACAGAGATTTAAAGAATCTAAAGATTGTTGATATTTAAGTGTGGTAGTTCAGAGGAGAATGAAACAATAATTTTAAGAGTTACAGTAACACATAAAATTCCAAAGACTAACACATTTCTTTCAAAATAATATTTTCAGAGGTTGGGAGTAAATAAATTTTCAAATCTATGAATTACTTCGTCTTTGAAGTTAAGGGCTTGACAAGGTTTATTTGGGATTTGGCTAATTAAAAATAATGTAAAACCAATATTTGGATGAGAGGAATAAACAAATTGACCTATTCAAGGGACATTATATTGTCAAAGATAAGTTGCAAACATTTATAAAATAATTTAGGAAATGAAAAACAGTAAAGAAGTTATAGAAAGGTAAAATAGTGTAGTACTTAATATAAGGTTTTTTTTTTTAATTTAAATTTTAGTTAGTTAACATACAGTGCAATATGGGTTTCAGGAGTAGAATTCAGTGATTCATCACTTACATACCACATCCAGTGCTCATCACAAGTGCCCTTCTTAATACCCATCACCTATCTAGCTCGTCCCCCCACCCACTACCCCTCCAGCAACCCTCAGTTTGTTTTCTATCCTTAAGAGTCTCTTATGGTTTGTTTCCATTTTTCCTTTTCCCCCCTTCCCGTATGTTCATCTGTTTTCTTTCTTAAATTCCACAAAAAATATAAGCTTTAAAATAAGATTTCCTGGATTCAAAACTGTGGTTCTACCACAGCTAATGCTGTTTGATTTTGGGAAACGTATGCTGTCTTTATTTCATTTTCCTATAGATTGGAGATAATGGAATCTATCTTGTATGATTTTTTTAGAACAGATAGATTAATTATTCCAGAGTGCTGAGTACAGTGACTCAGTACGGTGACTGGCATGTAGTAAGTACTCAATGCATGTGAGATATTATTGCCTTATATTATTGCTATTATAACAATGATTAGGAAACACTTCCATTACATTTCTTATTATCTCACCCTTCCCTAAAGCTGATTATATATATGCATGTTGTGCATGTGTCTGTGTGTGTTAATTTTCACTAAATTGTGATTCCGTAAAGTCAATAAACAGATTTGTATTTTAAGGCAGTTATAAATCAATTTTAAGGAGGTTAAGAAAACAGCTGACTCTTAAAAGTAGACAGCCATTTACTAGCTATGTCATTGACGGCAAGTTACTTTATCTCTACCGGTCTTAGCTCTGTCGTCCGTAAATGATAAGAATAATAATAATAGTATTTTTTCTCCTGGGATTTTTGTGAGAATTAAGTGAATTAGTATGTGTAAAATACTTACACAGTATGTGTAAATAATTACTGTGTTGACACAGTAATTATTTAGATACCATTATGACTAGGTATTATTTAATGATTATGTGTTATTTTAATTATATTTACATCCTCTTTAATATTTTATTGTACAAACAAAATGATAATGTAGTCACATGTACTCAGGTATGTTTAAATGTCAGAAAGCTAAACTCTGCTTTATGTATTATGATTTATGTGTATTTAGGACTCATTTAAGCTCACATGATTAGTTTTTAAAACAGATGTAGAAACCACATGGGTAGATTTTCTGTGTCCTTACCTACTGCAAATGCCTCCCAGCTATATAGTATTTAGGCATTTCTTTTTTCCCTTTCCTTCTTCTGCCTACTTATAACTCCAAGTGAAATATATATGCTGTGCTTTTTAAAATAATGGTCATTCAACCCTAAATAAATTATGTACTTAGTATAGTTTTGAAATGTTACCCATTAAATCTTTTCTCAACTACATTCCTACATCAGTTTTTAACTTTAACTTGAGATTTGGAAGAGATCTATATAAATAAAATAGAGCAAAATTTAATTATTTCTTTAAAAAATGTTTCCTTACAGTGTGTTAAAGTTATAAATGGCAACTTGTCTAATTATGTTTAGCTTCAGAGAACATAAAAAGGATTTTCGTGCAATTAAAAGGTGTTTTGAGATTGCCTGTGGGTAAAGAACATACCATTAAAATATGATTTGTCCTTAACAAACTATTGATTAGTAGCAAATTTTTATTTATTTTTATTTATTTATTTTTAAAGATTTTATTTATTTATTTATTTTAGAGAGAGAATGAGACAGGGAGAGAGAGCATGAGATGGGGGAGGATCAGAGGGAGAAGCAGACTCCCTGCTGAGCAGGGAGCCTGATGTGGGACTCGATCCCGGGACTCCAGGATCATGACCTGAGCCGAAGGCAGTTGCTTAACCAACTGAGCCACCCAGGCGCCCAATTAGTAGCAAATTTTTAAAACTTTATACCCAATGACAAAATTAGCTATATTCTTAAATAAAAGACTCAAAGCAAAATAATTGAATTCTGATAAACAAATTAAGGAATAATTTTGTGTGTGCATTGCTACAACTGAAGTACCTATATCTGTACAATCAACTGACCAAAAATCAAAGAAAATTTTAACTCGATATTCATAGTTAAGGATATTTTATGTCTTCAGGTAAAAATTATTTTTTCAAAAAAAGCCTCTTTGCTCCTATAGTAAATATAATAGCAAACTTGACTGTTTATAACATGTTTTTACACATACTATTTCTGCTGATGGAGAACAATCCTGTGATGCTATTATTTTCATTGACACATGACAGATGAGGGATATGAACTTAAGATCAAGCATTTCAACATATAATTTCTGACTTTAAGTCTTGGGTTTTTTGACTTCATTCTTCTGAATATTGAGAAGAGTTCAATGTTTTGAAACTGGGAAACTGTGAGGCATTCTTTTAAATCAACTTAAGCATATCCCTTTTTTGGCTATGGTGCCTGAATAAACTTTTAGAATTTTTATATGCTACAGTGTATAGCAATTACAAATATCTGGTGGGTAGTGCAAGAGATGACTATAAACTTACTACATTTCCTCAGGTATTCGTAGTCACTTACGGCAATCTTTGCCATGTTGCAAAGGGAAGAAGGGGATATTGACTTTTGAAGACGCTCTCTCCAACCAAGGCAACAGTGACATAAAAGACAAATGCCACCAGGTTTCACAAGCAAGCAAAAGTAACAAAACTGTTTAAGCAAGTCCTGGCTTCAGTTTAGAAGTGGTTGGATACAAGAGAGCTTGGTTTGACCCATTACTGAGCCTTGAGTGGATTGTTGCCTCAAATGGATACAATCTCAGTTTTGCCATCAAGATTTTTTTTTTCCCTGATTTTGATCAGTTTTCTGGGAAGTAGCACTGGTTCCTTCTTAGAAGGCTCTGACTACTTGATCTCTATACTGTCTAGGCTAAAGGCCATTTTAAGCTTAAATAAATTGGCTCAAGTCTAAGTGGAAGTGTTCTTTATCAAAGAGAGTAAAATTCCCTGATTCTGTTTTATCCATTCTCTGTCAAATAAAGCATGTGATCAGATGATGTCCTACTGGTGATAAGAGTTGGGTGGACCTTAATGATTCATAAAGTGAATCACAAATGTAGAGACAAAGGGACATAATCATCTTTAATCTAGTGGCAGTTGATAATTCCAGAGAGAAACAGGGCAGAACTTAAAAAGTACATTTGTTTCAGGGAAGAAGATGGGAGAATGCCAAATCTGTATTATTACATAATCGAGAAAAAAATGCAAATAAAGGTCGAATGACAGTAAAATCATCTCTTTTCTCGTGCTTTTTGCCAAATCGCCACCAGAAGATTGTTTTCATATTAAAAAGCAAAAATTAAAGTATGGAGAGTTAAAGATCTTACTGCTTTGGTGCAAACGAAAGAGCAAACCTGTACATTTTTTTGCACATTTTCTTACACAGGTGAATACATAATTGGGTAAAACTTAAATGGTTATACAAAATACCTTATAACTCTTAACAAAATAATGTAATTCTGAGTGCATTTGAGAGATGTGCAATTGTGTTTTGTCAGTTCCTATGAGTACTTGTTGTGATTCAGTGAATCAAAGTTGTATAAATAAATTGCACTCATTGCTGGCTGTGGAAATAGAAAGCAAAAAATAAAAAAATAAAATAAAAAATACATAGTTTTTAGGGTATTCTCCCCCAAACACATGCACCCTCCTGAATGATTTGAGAGATAATAACATTTAAGGAAACATTCTCATTTTTTGCCTTTGGGGAAGGTCAGAGGTATAGAAATTTTTCTAAGAAAGAATGGGGAGGGTCTCTTTGCCTCAGGCCAATAGAGTGCATTTGATTAGAGGTAAAAGAAACCAACAACAAAAACAGCCTTTAGATAGCTTTCCCGGAGTGTTGACTACCCATACTAATCATCAACACCTCACTGCACACCATTGCCAGGAGAGAAGAAAACATCCCACTCTTCCATTTTTTTTTTCCCTTTAAAAGGCCAAACATGCTGTCTTTGGATTGATTTCAATCCTGCTTTAATTCATTAAAAAGTGAAACAAAATCACCATTTACATCCTTGACAGCTGGCAGGTTTTATGTGTTCTTGCTACTTCTGCCAAGTAGCAAAGCTTTCATTCAACTCAGTCACGGATCCTTGGAGAGCTGCGAATGTGGAGCCCATCAAAACAGTGTGGTAACAATGGTGCTGGGACCTGCAGGCGTGGGGGTATTATGCCAATGCACCAGTGTGGGGGAAGTCGTAACTTCTTAAAACTTCAAAAAAAAGCTGCAACAAAAACTTTGAGAGGATTCAGATCATGGGACGTTTCCCTGCCACCTGGGGTAGAAAATCAAATCAAAATCAAAATGTTGATTATCTTTAATATGCTTTCTAGATATCTAAAGTAAGAAATGTATTTTTAAGAGAACATACATAGTAAAAAAAAAGTTGGGAATTTAACTGCCTTCCATTAAAAATATGGAACAGTGGAACTTATAATGGGTGAATGCAAACACAACTGAGAATTTGGGAACGTAGCAGAATTCTTGGAAATTAAAACACATATTTTCTTTGATTAAAAAAACACTAATTTCCTATGAGGATGTGTTATGAGTACGGTGAGGATAAAATCATGAATTATGAGCTTCTTTATGTTATTTACTTGTGGAAACAAAAACTCTAAATTATAACATAGCCATAAGAAATGACTAGTTGTAAATTAATTAATTATGGTAAAGTTTAGATTTCTCTAACTGTAATTTTCTGTTGGCTTGGTTAATTATAATTATCACCAGTCCTGCAGTGAGAGATCATGCAGGAATAAGGTAACTAAATGTTAATTGCATTTCTTAGCCAAGATTAATTTACAAAGATAACACATGAAGCCAAAGGAGTCCATGTAGACTAATGTTTAGAAATCTACTTTTGGAGTTTGATTCCCTGAGTTCCTACCATTTTTGCCATAGATGTGCGACTTTAGGCAAGTTACTTACTCTCTCTAAGCTTCAATATCTTTATTTATAAACTGGAATAAAATAATAGTATCTATAGTGTGAAAAAAATAAGAGATTGATACAAAGTGTTTAACCAAATTCCATTATAACCACATTATAAGCATTCAAAAATGTTAATGCTAATTATTACCATAATTTAAGATATATATTGAATTTGATAGTTTCCAGAAATACCAGCATAAATTTTATATATATATTTAAGTACTATACTTACGAAGTGGGACTTTGTCATCCTTGGCCCTGAAAGTCAGATGATTTGCAGACTAGACATGGATGTCACTGCCCAGATTTGTTCTTAGTGCTTTAAAATAGAATCAGAATTTTAATTTAGATCCCCAATTTTGGTTATACTTAAGACTTTTTAACTAAAATGAAGGAGGGTAGAAATAAACCTAGATTAAACGGAGAGCATGTGCTTTGCTTATCTTTTGATTTAAGCAGTTATATTTTAACACCTAAAATAAATGTTTTATTTAATCAATTAGCATGCATGTATGTGTGTATGTATGTATTCAACTTTTGAGGACATCACTACCATTACCACAGGCATCTGGAAAGGATCCGTAGCCACTTTCATAACAGTCTCAATCCAGCCCAGGAGGATTGCCAGATTAATATGACTGGCTTTATTAAATTAAACAACAGCTTAGGCATAAGAAACTATTTATCAATCTTCACTATATTATAAAGAAATAGCTGTTTTGTCAATCACAGACTGTTTCTATAACTTGACTGGGTCAGTTGCATGTTGTTTCAGTTAGTTATATTTATATGCCTGTTATTTCCTGATCTCTACTCCTTATCTCTGGTAGAAGGAATGACTCAGAGCTGCAACTACAGACCAGAAAGAGGATTACTTTTAGCTCTAAAGCAAAAAAGCCAGAGGCACTGGCTTTTCCGGCAAAATGTAATCATTATGGCATGTGTTCAGCCTTAGGTTGTTTCATTTATTAAGCCAACAAATTCTTAAAACAAGGGCTTGCTTTTCGAAAGCCATCTTGTTGCTTTCTGCCTGTGCAAGGTTCTTTTTTTTTTTTTTCCCAGATTTTTAAAAATCTGATCTCAGGACTAGTGCCTGCCAGTAAAATTAATTTGCAGAATAATATGAAGTAGCTTCTGGTCATTATTATTTTTGTATTTTTATTACTTTCAGGGTGGGAAGATGAGAGACATATTCTGTTTCCAGTCAGACCTTATAGTGAGAAGTATACTGGGTAATGAGCTTTAGAATACATTTTTAGATAGCAGGCAAAAGCAAGAAATCTTTATCTAGAGGAGAGGTCTATAGGGCTTCTCCTGTGTAAGTACTTAAGTTTCTGGACTAGTATAGAATTACAAATTTCAACATATGCTGAAGATATTGGAAAGGCAGAGTTATAAATATGTCATAACACTTCTTTCTTTGTGAATCATTGAATTTCTCTAATAAATTTAGCTACAATTTTAAAGTCTATTATTTTGTAGGCAAGCATGCTTCAAGCAAAAGAGAACTGTCATGATGAAGACTTTTGGTCCAAAAGAAAAATATTTACAATATCTCAAAGGCAAAGTATTTAAAGGTGAAATTTTACTCTGTGAAATACTCCCTCTTTGTAATGACACCATTTTTTATAAGTTGTTAAAGTATAATTTCCAAAATGTAAAACAAGACTTTTATACAAACATAAAATGAGCACATATCAACAGCTGTATTCAATTCATTAATTAATAATGGAACCAGTCAGATGCTAAGACTAGTTCAAAAGCCTTTTAGAAGCTGAGTATCTAAAAAAAATTAATAAAAGACAATTTGAATAATATTGCAAGGTCAGACACAACGCTAGTGAATCTCCTAAAAGGCAAAAAACCCATAATCTTTGGAGTCATCTCTTATTTTGTACAGAAATTACTTCTTTCACAGTATCTCCAACATTATATTCCTAAAGCACATTCTATGAGACATGTGGGATCCATGTGCAAACACAGAAACATTGACATTTTTTTTTCCCATTACTAATGAAGTTATAATTGCATATTGGATATGATTAAAATCGGTATGGAAGAGTAGAAAGTTATCTGTTCCACGTACAGTCTTAGAAAAAGCTACGATACTGATCAAGGACAAGAAGAGCCACCATGTTGGAATGGAAATCCGTTATAGACAGCTAAGAGAGTAAAGTTCCCTTTCTTTGTAAAAGGTGCTATGTATATATGTATTTAATGTCTTTTCTTGACATTAGAGAGCAATAAAATGGATAATCTGTATCACACTTGGAAATAGGAGATATTCTTTAACTCCAAGTCTCTTATAAGGTGAACCTAAAATCAGGAGAAAGTCTGAGGATAAAGAAAGCAATGTGTAAAGATGTCTCAGCTAATGTTAACTTATGGATCAAAATATGAATCTAGGTCTTCCAAGTCTATCTAAAAGGGCTTTTCATGTAACATTAGAGAAGGAATTCTAGACCAAAACTAAACCACTAGAAACAGCTCAGCATTTCCTTGAATATGTGGGAGTAATTCCTTGCTGTATCTTAGACCAGAATAAGTTATTAATCAATTTCAGAGTAGCTTTGTCATTAAATACAAATAATAATGAGCACCTGGGATATGTAGAATTTCTATCCACTCATTCATTGTAACTATTTTTCTGTATCTCAGCTTAGATTCATAAACCTGTCATATGTAGCTGTTTGACTTTTCTTAAGAAAAAAAGTTTTTATAAAAAATTGGATTCAGGGGTGCCTGGGTGGCTCAGTTGGTTAAGAGACTGCCTTCGGCTCAGGTCGTGATCCCAGAGTCCTGGGATCGAGTCTCATATCCAGCTCCCTGCTCATCGGGGAGCCTGCTTCTCCCTCTGACCCTCTCCCTTGTCATGCTGTTTTTTTTTTCTCTCTCTCTCTCAAATAAATAAATAAAATCTTTTAAAAAAAATGGATTCATTTTTCCCACAGAGTGCATATAAGTCTTGATGATTTTGCAATTGTTTGAGTTGGCTATTAATAATGCTTTTGAAAATCAGTTATGTCCCAAGAGTTCTATCCTTGGGAAAATAAACCAATAAAAACTCAAAGTGCATGAAAAAAGTATAACACTAAAACACTAAGAAAATTTATTTCTAAATTTTGAAATGTATTTCAAACAGGAAAAGTGTTAGAAAACTCACTTTTATTAACACTCAGTGTGATTTATGTTTAATCTCCAAGGTAATATGTTCCTGTCCTTTTAGATAATCTGGTTTGGTCAAAATTGCAACTCTACTATGTTTTCAGAATCTTGTGATATAGGTCTCGTATTAGTTTTCTAACACTATTATAACAAAATACCACTGACTGGGTGACTTAAGCAATAGTAATTTATTTTCTCACAATTCTGGAGGATTATAGTCTCAGATCAAGATGCCCCCAAGGTTAGCTTCTTCTGAGGCCTCTCTCTTTGGCTTGTAGATGGTCATCTTCTCCCTGTGTCTTCATATGGTCTTCTTTCTGTACATGCCTGTGTCCTAATGTCCTTTTCTCATAAGGATACCAGTCATATCAAATTAAGACCCACCCTGATGACCTCATTATAACTTAGATACCTTTTTAAAGACATGTGATCTAATAGGAAATATATATATTGGTCTCCTCCCCCTGTCCCTCAGTTCCTGACACATGGCTCCTGAAACCCTTGTAACTTCTTGAGTAATACGAGTGTCTTTTGTTCTAATGCAGTGATTCTGGATGGGATTCTGGATGGCTCCTAGATGAGGGCTGGTCCCCGGAAGACCAAGCCATAATTAGAAGCTTGGAATTTTCAGCTCCTCTCCCAGGGAGAAGGGCGGGAAATGGAATTTATGATCAATCATGCATACACAATGAAGACTCCATAAAAACCCCAAAAATACAGGGTCTAGAGAGCTTCTAGGTGGGTGAATACATCCATGTACCAGGAGGATGACGTGCCCCAACTCCTGGGACAGAAACGCCAACACTCAGGACCCTCCAAACCTCACCTTATGTATCTCTTCATCTGTCTTTCTGTATCCTTATCATATCCTTTAATAAACTGGTAAATGTAACTGTTTTCCTGAGTTCTGTGAATCACTCTAGTGAATTAATTAAACCCAAGGAGAGGGTCATGGTAGCCTCTGATTAGTAGCCAAATTGGACAGGAGTTGTAGGTAACCTGGGGACCTGCTACTTGCTGTTGGCATCTGAAGGAGGGAGCCAATCTCATGCAATTGAGCCCTTAACCTGTGGGATCTGACACCATCTCCAAGTAGATAGAGTCAGAGATGAGTTAAATGGTAGGACGGCCAGCAGGTGTCAGAAAATTGCTTGGTGGGGATGTCCTCACACATCTAGTGTCAGAAGTGTTGTAAGTGTGAGGTGGTGGTGTGAGAGTAGAGGAGACACACAGGAGGAAGGACTGGGTTTTCCCTACTCAGGAGGAAAAGACTGTTTTGTTTTTGTTTCTTTCCTACTCAAGACACTATCTCCGAATACAGACAGTCACAATCTGAGGTCCTGGGAATTAGGACTTCAACATATGGGAAGGTACATAATCCAGCTCATAACAGACCTCAACACTGCCCAGTAACAAATTTCAATCTTAAGTAGTGTTCTTTATCACCTGCTCTCTTTCCCTGGTATGCATTAATTTCAGATGTCACTCTTTTGATTTCCAAAATTGCTGCATCCAGGTCCACCATTAGCTCTAATGAAGAAGTTAAATATCACCCTTATTAATGACTCTCTGTTTAGAATTTAATCACTGAACTGGCACTAAGATTATTTTGAATATTTTTGATCCAAATATACTAAAATGCACAGAAGTCAGTGAGTATTGACAAAAACGTCAAATTTTTATATGTTTACTTCTGATTTTCCTGGTGAGAGAGGACAGAGGATAATGAATTTTCAGGAACACAACAGAGCCCTCACTCTGATAAATACAGGGTATAGAACGTGACGCTTTAAAGTGTATGAAACCCTATGTGATGTAACAAAAAGTTAGAAACAAAAAGTTCTAAGTATCTCATGATCTAAAGTTAGTCACTGATAAACTGATGACATTCTTTGCCTTCCCCTACCACTGGCCAGTTGTTTTTTTTTTAATTTTATTCATTTATTTGACAGAGAGAGAGCGCACGAGAGAGAGCACGAGCAGGGGGAGTGGCAGACAGAGGGAGAAGCAGGCTCCGCGCTGAGCAAGGAGCCTAATACGGGACTTGATCCCAGGACCCTGGGTTGATGACCTGAGCCAAAGGCAGACACTTAACCAACTGAGCCACCCACGTGTCCCCAGCCAGTTCTAAGGTGGGAAAGAAGCCTAGCAGGT